CTTTTTAAAAAGAGGGAGAAGACTAAAAGGTAGGAAGAACCCAGGTTATAAAAAGATTTAAGTGCCAAACAAAGGATTTTATATTTGGTCCTGGAAGAAATACGAAGCATTGAAGTTTTTTGAGTAGAGGGGGTATGATGGTAGTGACAAGGTCAGAATTTAGAAAAATCACTTTGGCAACTCTGTGGGGAATAGATTGGAGTGAGGATAGACTTGAAGCAGGGAGACCAATGAAGAGGGCATTGCAATTGTCCCGGGGAAAGGTGCGGAGAGCCTGGACTAGGGTGGTGTCTGTGTGAATGGAGAGTAGGGGATGTATGCCAGAGATACTGTGAAGGTAGCAATGACTGGATTTGACTAGGGGCTAGGTTTATGAGGTGAATACAAGTAGGGAATCCAGATTGCCATTGAAATTATTGCCCTGGGTGGCAGAAAGGATAGAGGTACCCTCAAACTTAATGGGGAAATTTGGAAGAAGGGAAGGTTTGGGGGAAAAGATAAAGAATTATTTGGACATGTTGAATTTGAAATGACTACATAGCATCAAATTCTAGATGTCCGAAAGGTAGATAATGATTTGGCTCTATAGTTCAGAAAAGAGGCTAGGACTGTATGTATAAATTTGGAGCATATATACAAGTATCATGATGTTCATTGAACACATAGAAGTTGATGAAGTCACCAAACGAAACAGTGTATGTATGTATACACACACACACACACACACACACACACACACACACACACACATATACATATATATACGGAGTGAAAAGAGAAAGGGCCCAGGACAGAGACTTGGGGGCCACCCACAGTTAGTGGATATGACATAGATAAAGAACCAGCAAAGGAGACTGAGAAACTTCAGGAAGACAGGAAAGAGGAAAATCAGAAGAAAACAGTATCATTGAAGCTTAGAGAAGAGACATTGTCTAGGTCTAGGAGGAGAAGGTAATCAACAAGATCAAACATACAAAGATCCAGAAGGGTGAGGATTAAGAAAAAACCATTAGATTTGGTGATTAAAAGATAATTGGTAACTTTGGAGAGAGAAGTGTCAAATGAATGCTGTGGTTAGAAGTCAGATCACAGAGGAGTTGGAAAAAAGTGAGAGGTGAGGAAATGGAGGCAGTGCACATTGGACCAAGATATTTGATATTGGCTTGAAAAGATGGTACAGTCTGTAGAAATTTGTTTTTTTTTAATTTTTGTTAAAGGACAGGAGAGACACATATTTTTGAAAGCCATACGAAAGGAACCAGTAGAAAGGAAAAGACTGATAGAGAGAAGGGATGCTTGAGGGCGCAATCTATTGAAGAAGAAGGGAAGGGATGGGCTCAAGGGCATATATAGAGAGGCTGGCCTTGGTAAAGGGAAGGGCCACCTCATCATTATCAGAAACTGGAGGAAAGGAGAAGAAAGTAGGAATGATGTCAAGGGATGAGAAAAGTAGGTGAAGGGGCTTCATGGGAGGCTTAAAGATTGAAGAAAAGATTTCAAATAGGTTTTGTGGGGATTGAGATAGTGAATCAATTAGGGAGGAATAAAAGGTCTGCCTTGTTACAGTAATCAGCAGCAGATGAGGTTAGACGACATAATTTTGTAGCATACCCAGTCTTACAACCAGCTGGGTTCCCAACTCCAAGTCCAGCATTTTGTCCACTTGGCTCTCCTGCCTCTAATTCAAAGAGTTGGTCAGAGCTAGTGGAATGAACACTGGCATGGGGTGTGCACATATAGATACCACTCCTATTTCTGCCACTAGTTAGCTACATAAACTTTATGAAGTCATTTAGCCTCAGTTGCCTCATTTGTAAAATGGGACACTTGAACTAGATTTTTAACCTAAGGTTCATGAAACTTGGATGAGAAAAAAAAAACGCTTACATCTTTATTTTCATTTATCTCTAACTGAAATTTAGGATATCCTTCAATTATTTTAAAAACATTGTTCTGAGAAGGAATTCATTGCCGAAGGGGCTCATGACTGAAAAAAGGGTGAAGGGCCCTTAAGTTAGATGATCTCTTATCACACTGAAGTTGTGCAAATGTAATGAATATAGTAAGCCAAGTACGTCCCTCAGGGAGAATCCAAATAGCCCTTCTTGTGTTGGGGGAACTTGGCCTGGAAAATTTGGAAGAAGAAATGAAAAGTCCTTTTTCTCCTGCTCTCTTTCCATCTATGACTCCCTTCTTTCAACTCCCCTGGTTTCTAGAACAGTCAATGTCCTCCTCTCTATTTCCCCTCCTATAGACACCCAAATGTGTACCCAGTGATCTCTGGACTGTAGTAGCCTCCCTCTTTAAAACAGAGGCAGAGCTACAATTGCTCCCGTGGAGGCCATCCTGGTCCAATACTCTCCTTAGGGCTTCAAGTCTGTTCTGAGGACCCCTTGGATCCTGAGGAGAGGTGGGGACTGCAGCTAAGAGGCTATTAGACCCCACAATGGCAATGTCCACTGTGGTTTTGGAGACAGAGGATCTGGGTTCATATCCAAGTTATGTTATCCCTCTATGACCTTAGCCAAGTCATTCAGCCTATTTTCCAATCTTTTAGAGGCATCTAGGAGGCACAGTGAATAAAGTGCTGGGTCTGGAATCAGGAAGGTGTGACTTCACATTCAGCCTCAGGCTAGCTATGTGACCCTGGGCAAGTTGCTTTACTTTTGTTTGCCTCAGTTTCCTCAACTGTAAAATAGGGAAAATAGGAGCACCTACCTTGCAGGGTTTTTGTGAGGATAAAATAAGATAATATCTATAAATCACTTAGTAGAGTAAATTTTTGTTGTTATTCAGTCGTTTTAGTCACAATCAACTCTTTGTGACCTCATTTGGGGTTTTCTTGGGAAGGATACCGGAGTGGTTTGCCATTTCCTTTTCCAGTTCATTTTACAGGTGAGGAAACTGAGGCAAATAGGGTTAAGTGACTTGTTCAGGGTCACATAGCTAGTGAGTGTCTACGGTCAGATTTGAATTTGGGAAGATGAATCTTCCTGACTCCAGGAAGACTCCATTATGCCACCTAGCTGCCCAGGAGAGTAAATAGTAGGCACTTAATAAATGCTTCTCTTCCCTCATCTGTAAAATGTGGGGGTTGAACTAGATGACTTCAGGGGTCCCTTCTAGCTCCAAATCTATGTTTCTATGCTCTTCTGTATTCTAGACCATGGCTTAGTAGTCTTGGTATAATGTGTGGTGGGAAGACACTGAGCTTGGGTTTGAATATTGGCCCTATGATCTTCACCTCTTCAGGCTCAGTGTCCTTATCCATAAAATGTTGGGCTTAATGACTTCTAAGGTCCTTTCCATTTCTAAGACCTTGGCCCTCCCAGAAGAACAAACCTAAGAGCTGGAGATCTAAAGAGTTAGACTGCTCTCCATTCATGACCTGGAGGTATCTCTAGACCAACCCCCTCCCCACCCCCAACCAGGCACCATTTTCCCTCTTTACCCAGCTCACCTACTTATTCCAGGAAAGTCATTTATACCTTTGCATGAACTGAAATTCCTCTTGTTACCAATCCCAAGTGTATTTGCATGTAGGCTAGGCTAGTAATTATGACTTTGTTAAAGTTGGTCAAAGGAATGTAAAGCTGAATCAAAGAATGTTAGGTTAGGGGAACTTTCCCTGGTGGCTCTGAAGTCTCTTAAGTGACCCAGGAAAGAGATTTAATCACTTTTTTTTTGCTAACCTTTCCCATTCCATTGGGAAGTTTGCATAATTTTGGGGGATTTTGAAGGTAAGGTAGGCACATGGGTTCCCAGCGTTGGGACCAGGTACTCAGTGCCTTTTAATTAGGAAATTTAATCCACTTCAATTCATAGAAAAATAGATTTCAGGTAGAAAGGGACCCACACCCCTCAGGAGACTGAGGCAACAGAGAGATTGTGACAGGTTTAGTTCACATAGCTAGAAAATGTTTAAATCAGGATTTGAACTCAGGTCTTCTGACTTCAAGCCGAGTAGCCATACCGACTACATTCAACAAATAATTTAAGGCAGGAAGATACAGAAGACAAAAATGAAACAATCCCTACACCAAGGAACTTGCATTCTACCCACAGGATGCAACATGGCAGACGATTAAATATTTAAAATAGAAAGAGTAATAGAAAGAAATTTCAGGAGAAGGAGAGCATTCACTGGGGCTCAGGAAGACCTCCTGTGGTAAGTGGCATCAGGACTGTGCTTTAGAAAGGGAGGAATGTTCATATTAGGAGAGGGTCCTCACCAGTCATCCTAAAAGAGGCTCTCTGCTTACGCCCTGCCAGTGTTTATCTGCCAAGCTTCCTCTGCCCCTTTTTTCCTCTCTTCCTATGGGCCCCTATGGAAGCTAAACAGGGTCCAGAGACCAGCAAGCCAAATAGCCAAGCATTTAATGAGATAATGTATTTGAAGCACTTTGTAGACCTTTAAAGATGTTGTCGTTGTTGTTATGGAAAAGGCTGGAGAATAGGCCCTGGGAGAGCAGTAGGGGCTGTTGAACCCAGAGAAGGGAGGGCCATGGGTTTCCCTGAATAACTAGAAAGGGTCTTTATTATAATAAGCTGCTATCCCTCTCCTCAGAGCAAAGAGCAGTAGGAAACGATAAGCCGACTGGATTGATTTTTAAAATGGCAGCAAGAAGAAGTTGGGTTAGACCTAAAGAGGCTTCCCAGCTGTGAGGAAGATGATTTTCCCTCAAGAGGTTCTGGGGATCTTTGTCCGAGTAGGTTTGCAAATCTAAAAATTAATAGCCACCTTCTTGAACAGAGACTGGAGAGAGGACTTCTAGTCTAGCTCTAAGGACCTAGGATTCAATGAAGGAACACCTGTACCTGCAGAGTCGGGAAAAGGGGGAGTCATCCGACCTAGTTTCCTCCTTTCTCTTTCCTTCCTCCCCCACCTTCCTCCGCCCCCTGTCACCCCGGGCAACCTCGGCTCTGCCCCTTTAAACAGAGGTTTCCTGTCCAGCCAGCTGCGAGATGCCTAGATGGACAGGGCGAGAGGGGGAGCTCTGTCTCTCTGTCCCTCCCCTCTCAACCCTCCCTCCCTTCCTCCTGGCTCTCTGTCTCCCTCCCTCTTTCTCCTCGGAAGCTGAAGAGCCGGTGAGGCTGTGGAAACAGCAGAAGCAGAAGCAGCAGCAGCAGCAGCAGCAGCAGCAGCAGCACCAGCCACCGCCACAGCCGCCGGAGCAGTAGCTGCAGCCCTGCTCTCTCCTTTCCTCTTTCCCTCCTTTCCTCCCTCCCTCCTGTGTTGTGAGTGTGACGCGGGGTGGCAGAGGGAGAAAGAGAGAGATACAGAGAGAGAGAGAGAGACGGTTCTTGGACTTAGCCCGGGAGAGGAGCGAACCCTGTGATCAGTACTCAGGGCTCCGAACTCTGAGACGCCGGGAGCCGAGTGCAGGAAGGGAGGGAGGGAAAGAGCTCAGCAGCCCAGCTGAGGCAGAGCCCTGGGGCAGAGAGCTTTCAGGACGATCCAGGCTCCGGACAGACCCTGGGAGCCACCAGTAGCCAGCAGAGCGCGGGCTCCTGAGCTCTGGGGACCCGAGGGCAGAGCTCGGAGCTGGAGAAGCTAGCAGATAGCCGGTAGCCGTCGACAGACGTCAGTCTCCCGCCAGGGAGCTTTGAACCCTGGGACCAGCGGCGCCGGGAGCCTGGAGAGCAGGGAGCGAGTGAGCGTCCCTCGATCTAATCCGAGGAGCAGCACCCCTTACCCCACCCCCCACTCAGCCCCCCTCCATATCCCTCCCCACTCCTGGACGTGGTTGGGGGCATGTGAGCTGGAAGCCGCGGCAATCTGCAACGATCATCCCGAGGGAGAAGCCCTGCCCCAGCAAAGGACGGAGCTGGAGCCGGAGCCGGGAGAGTAGTAAGTGCACCCTGCCCTGCCCTGCCCTGCCATGCCCTGTCCTCTCACAGCACCACCTCTAAACCTACAGTCCGCTCCTCTCTCCCAGACTAGGTCCTCCCACCGCTTGGCCCGGGCTCGCCCCTCTGAGTCCCTGGTTCCCCCTCAGACACCTGAAGTTTGACAAGCATATTTGCATGTTTTGGGGGATACCCCAGTTCTTGCCTCTACCGAGTTGCCATCTGCTTGTAAAGTTTTCTAGGGTACCCAGCCGTCCCCAGAAGTGGTGTCTATCCCCACCTCTCTGCCCCTCAGGCAGTGCCAGTTCTAGATACAGTGCTCACTGTGGTCAGACCCTAGTTCTCGGTCCCTGGAGAGAGGGAGGCGAGAAGGCTTTGGAGCCGCCTGGTTGGGGGGGGGAGGGTTGTGTGCGGAGATGGAGAAGGGAAACAAGGCAGCGAGCTCAGTCTCTCTATGTCTCCCTGACTCCCCCCATCTGCCTAGCGTCTGTCTGGCTTCTCTTCTTTGCCTGATAACTGACCCGGGCCCCTGTCTCGCCAACCAGTCTGTGGGGCTCAATCACAGTGATTTCCAACGGGAAGAGGTGATGTGTGTGTGTGTGTGTGTGTGTGTGTGTGTGTGTGTATGTGTGTGTGTGTATGTGTAGTGTATTCGTGAAGGGAGGGGGCGGGTTTATGTGACATACCCCCCCACAACCCCCAGGAATTGTCCCTAGATACTGGGATATCAATCCAACCCTTCCCTCTCTGCTCACCCCCTCCCTTCCTTCCCACCCCAATCCAATCCTAGGTTCATTCCCAAGAGGAGATGGGGGAGGCGGCATCCTGTTTGTGTCTTAATTCTGCTGTTCCTCTCAAGCTTTCCCCCCACCCTGCACTGGCAACCCCCCCACCCCCAATTATTCTTTAATTCAGGGATACACGAGGTGAATTTTCTTGTTCTGATCTTGCAAAATAAAAGTCTAGGGAAGGGGATAGTCCCATTCCCAGCGGCTCGCCATTGTTTTCATACAAAGTGTATTCAACATATAAATACACACACCACACACGTGTCCCTGGCTGGATCTGCCCAGAGGTTGGGGGATTCTCCCACTGGCTAGTCTGCATTCTCCCTCTGCTGCTCATCTTGGGGATGGGGTAGGCATAGGAAGATGTCGTGGAGTTGTGGAGTGTGCTTGTACCGTTGTCCATGGGGCAGAGCAGGGGAATGAGTTTTGAATTTAGGGGAGGCAGCTTTCTGGGAAGACCCTGCGCTCTGCAGACCGGGTGGTTCCGGCTCCAGACCCCAAAGGAATTGGCAGTGGCTTCAGAATTCCGCCAGACCTCTTGGCAAAGGCCCCCACGACATCAGTCTAGGGAGGAAGCTGGAAGTTTTCCTGGGAAGTTTTGCTTTTTCTCCGTGAGAATTTCCGGGCAGAGTCAGGGTGACCCACAGAGACAGAGATAGAGAGAAAAAGACACGGACGCACACACAGAGAGAAAGAACAGACAAAGACAGAGACACTAAGACAGTACTGGTGTTGTGGGATCTCCCAGGGGCTGTAGGAAACTAGGAGAACGAAGGGGCCCTCTTGCCTGCGGGGCTGAAGGGAAGGCATTGATTTAATTGCTGCTTTGATTTTTCAGACACCCTGGGCCTCCCCTTTCTTTGTGATGGGGAGCCCACTGACCAAGCTCTGGAATTCTAGATCTGAATCCCACTCCCTGACCTTGGGCAAGTACCTCTTGGGGACCTCAGCTTTCCACTGGAGAAACAGGGAGTCAGCCTGCCTTCTTTTAAACTCAGAATATTATGAAGAGGTCAGAGCTAGCGGTTCAGACTTAGTAGCTGCAGGAGGACAAAGATACTGTCTCCTTACTGATTGTGGGCAATCTGAAACGACTAACTTTGGGCATGAGATTAATTAGTACAAATACTGGACTTCAAAGAAGAGAGAATAAGTATTCAAGTACCAGATCCTGTGTTTAGGCTCACCTTACTGCCTCCTTTCGGGTTTTTTTTTTTTTGGTTCTTTGGCTGGTTTTAATGAAAGGAACTTTCTACTCACTCCACCCTTCCCTCCATCCCTCCCTGGTGGGGCCCTCTCCACCCAGCCCAATCTGTCTGGTGGAAGAAAAACTCAGGACCTCTTCCCCAGTGCATAGTTTTCTTGGCATCAGGCTCCAGGATTGATGTGCTTTTATGTGTCAGTGGTGTTTGGTGAATTTCCTGAGAGAGATGGAACCCCAGATGTCTTGGGCCCTGAGGAAGAGTCACCAGGGAAGGGTTAAGCCTCTTCCTCCTGGGTGTCTGCCCCCTAGGCTGTATTTATATTGCTTACTGTTTAGGAACCTCCCACTGCTATAAATAGGGGAAAATGGAAGGAGCTTGGGGGAATAATAATAATAATAATAAATGCTATATAGTACTTTTCATGTGCCTGTAAGTGCCTTACAGTTATTATCTTATTTGATCCTCACAACAGCCCTGGGAGAAAGGTGCCATTATTATCTCCATTTTACTGGTAAGGAAACTGAGGCAAACAAGTGATTTGCCCAAAGTAACACAGCTATTGTTTGAGGCTAGATTTGAACTCAGGTCTTCCTGACTCCAGCCTCAGTGGTCTTTGTCACCTAGATGACCCCTAAATGCCCCAGCCTGGGAGTATTTAATAGGTTTGGAGGAAAATGTTAATCTTCTCTTTTTTTCATCCATGCATGGTTAGAGATATTGTAGGAATGCGCTATTGAATTAAAAGCTCTGGAAATAGGTAGGTCAGACTAGCAGAGAGATGGGAGACTGCTGAAGAAGAACAAGATCGACTCTGGGTCTTGCTCATCTGGAAGTCAGGATTCTCGTCCTGACTCTTTTCCTTATAATTGTGTGACCTTGAGCAAGTCACTTGAATACTTTAAATCTTTTTTCCTAGAGATATTATTTGCATTACTACCTTTATAAAATTGTGAGGATAATGCCTTGTAAATTAAAAAGAAACTTAGGTTTAAATACCACTTGAACTTGCTGTTTTGTGAAAATTGGTGTAATTTAACTCTGTGACCCTCAGTATCCTCTTCTCAGAAAAAAGAGGGGGCATGGAAATAGATAATATCTGTGATATATTTATTTAGCTCTCTGGGATGTTAGGAGGCTCAATTAAAATAGTTTGTGTAAAGTACATTGCAAACCTTAAAAGTGCTTTATGAATGTTAGTCTCTGGAAGAGAAATGTGAGTTGTTTATTATTATTATGTCCTCTGAACAGTGAGAGTAAACTTTTCTATTCCTTCCTAATTCCCCTCCCCAAACGATTGCTACTTGAAAATACTTAAGAAAACCAGCAGCAGTTTTCACCAGAATTTCAATCACAATTGCCCAATCTTCTCTTTCTCAAAAAGGTGTCTCCCATTATACATCCTCCATTCCTTCTAAAATCTTTGTATTCCCAAACTTGGGCCTTTTCTGTGCTGTCAAAGCAGCCTTCATTAAGCACCTACTAGATGCAGGGCACTGGGACCTCTGAGTCTAGAAGAGCTGGCTTCAAATCCAGACTTTGGCACATGATAGTTTTTTGACCCTAGATAGGTCACTGAGCTTCTTGGAGCCTCAGGCAATCCTTTAAAACTAATGCTAAAATGCTCATCTGTGTTGGTAGAACCTCTTCACTTTTAATTTTCCATACAGAAGAATTCACTGGTCTTAAAAAAAAATGGGGCAGGTATTAGGCCAAGCCTTGGACACTGAGTTCTATAGAGAAATGTGTTAGACCAGCCACTCTCCTGTGCCAGTTGGAAAATAGGGGCAGGGCAGAGAGTAGGACAATACATAAGCTTACATTTTAGCACATAAGAAATATAGTAAAGTGCTATGTGTATTTAGCTGAAGGGAGAGAGAACCTTTGGGGAAAGGACATCAGGAAAAATTTCATGGAGGAATTGGCATTTAAGCCAGATGCTGAAGAATAGGCAGGATTTCAATAGGCAGAGATTTAGGGAGAGGACATTCTAGACTGAAAACAGCATTAGCAAAGATGCAGAGGTGGGAAACTAGCCAGTAGTCTTTGGCCCACTTGCCTTTCAGATATATACTGGAACTCAGGGATGGGTTGGCATATTCCCAATTCTGTCCCCTGTATTGTGAGTGGCGTAAGGCATTTCCCTCTCTCTAAGTCCCCTTCCCCCCACCATTTATATGATTCTTTTTCCCCCTAATGGGGAAACTAGCCTTAACATTTCTCAAGGCAGCTAAGTGAATGAGTGAGAAATCAATCAGCATTCACTGGGCACCTACTATGTACCCAGTATTGTGATGGGGTATGTGTGTGTGTGTGTGTGTGTGTGTGTGTAGGGGAATGGTACAAGAGATACAAGTCTCTGACTCCTTACTCTGTAAGAGCTGACATGCTGATTGAGTCCTTTCCAGGACTCAAGTTTGACATGGTACTTTGAGATGGACATTGGGAGGCTGGCCTGAAGTTGGCGCTTACTTGGGGAGGAGAATACCAATAGAACAGGACCTTTTCACTCCACAACCACCATCTCCTCACCCCCATTCAGGGGTGAGGCCATATGTTTGAAAAGAGCTGTGTTGGAAGGGCCGGCTTCGGGAGCTGGGAGCTCAGTAAATCGTGCTTTGAATGGAGTTATTTTTGTGTTCACTGTTTGCTTAAGAGGGCCTGCTCCTGCCTGAACTCGTTGCATTCACACTCTGCTGGTCCCCTTCCTGGAATCTGGCCTTCTTAACTCGGGTGATGGTCATGGTGCCTGCCAGGGGGTTGAGAATAAGGGCCCAGAGGAGACTTGCTCTGTGCTCCCCTTCCTCTCCTTTAGCCCCATTGGTGAAGATCCAGTGTTTAAAGAATTGAGCCTTCTCTTAAGCCAGCCCATTCCCACATCTTTTGTGGGTGTGGGGTAGGGGAGAGGCAGTGACATTCCTGACTGGTCCCTGGGCTGAGGTCTTTGCATTGTAGCTCTCCCATGTTCCTTCCTCTCTATTACCCTTACCCACCACAAACTAAACTATTCC